GGCACCCACAGCACCACCAAGGGCACCCAAGGCACCCACACCATCACTGACACCCATACCACCAATGACACCTGTGCCACCACAGCGCTCCATCGCCAAGGGACAAACCCCAACTTGGCTCTCCCCCCATAGCTGACCTGGCCACGTCCCGCTGAGGCCAAAGGGGTTTCCTCCTTTTGAGGTCATCTGAATCCAATTTGGGTGTTTTTGCTCCACGATCTCCGCACTGTGGTCCCCAAACCCGTGGCAGTGCTGTGTGCCATGCCCCCATCCCCACCTCCCACCATTCTCTGGGGACGTGCACAGCCCATGGGATGCTGCGGAGCCACAGCTTGGGGAGGACAGAGCACACAAACAACCACCTGGTGGCCGGATCACCATTTTTTATCCTCGTTTTTGTAATTAAAAGCCCCCTGGGACACACACAGAGACACGGGGGTGAATGACTAGAAAATAATTTATTGAAGAAACAGAAAGCTGCAGAAATACAACACAGTCATGACCAGTAGAGGATGAACAAATAGAGATTTTCTTTTTTTTTTTCTTTTTTTTTCTTTTTTTCTCTTTCAAAACCTGTTGGAGTTAAGTTTCCTGGTAATTTCCCCTGCGTGAGTCATTGCAAAGAACAAGGAACGAACTCCAGAGCACACAGCACAGTTTGGATAAAGTGCCTGACACATAAGACTCTTTTTTTTTTTTTTTTTTTTTAAATTATTGTCTTTTTTTCTTTTTTTTTCTTTTTTTTTTTTTAGCATTTGTAAATAGCTTAAACAAACATAATTGCAAGACACAGAGGAGTAACAATTGCATTTCGCTGTAGAGTAAAACCTATCCTGTGAGATTAACAACGAAGCGGCAGCGAAAGGAAAAATAATAACTGTAAGATAATAATTAGAAAACAAAACAAAACCATTCAGTCAGAAGGAAGAAAAGCATTGGGGCAACGGAGGGACGTGGCCCCCAAAGGAGGTGGGATGGGTGCCTATTGCTATGCAGAGAAATGAGCAGTGGGGTGGGTGGGTAAACCCAGTGCTGTGGGCTCCTCCTGGGCAGGGTGAATGCTGCCTGACTTCTTGTTCTCCTTTAGAAATGTACGGGGGAGAAGGATGGGAAAGGCGAAACAAAAAAGAAAACAAAACAAAGCCACAAATGGATTTGTTTGTCTTTGCGTTGTTAATTCCCTTTCTTTAAAAAACCCTGAATGAAGAAATAAGACAAAAGGATCCCAAGCGTCCATACGCACAGCCCCAGCCCCGGCTGCAGCTCCTCTTCTGCTCTGAGATGAGGGAAAAGCAAGAAATGTCCGCCCTGCCCCCTTGAAGCGACCCATGCATGAACCTTGGCTTCTGATTCTGCTCAGAACAGAGGTGTTGTATGAAGGATCTTGTCCTGACGTTCCTGGGCTTGGCACCAGGCAGTGCAAGCTCCAGGCCCAGTGCTGGTATCCCATCGTTGGAGACCTTAGAGCTGGGAAAGCTCAGCTCGTGGCTGGGCTATCATGGGATGTCAGTGCCTGCAGCTCGACTTTGAGGTTCCGTGAGCCCTCTGCTCCTCCTCTCCCAGTGGGGATGGAGATGTTGCTGCCCCACTGCAAATTCTACTTTTTTTTTGCACCTAAATGGAGAACCAGCCTGAGGCTTCACAAGTAACGGGATGACCCAAATCCCTGAAAACTTCTACAGCGGAAACAGGACGCAATGACCAGGCTGAACTGCGGGATTTGGTGGGGCTGGAGGTTCCAGGCACCCTCCTCTTCCTTGTCCTTCATCAGCACAAAGCCCTGGGATCTTTGCTCCCTGATGCTCCCCACCAGGCAGGAGCTGCTCTTGTTGTTTCTCAAGGTGCCCCATTGCGCTCCAGTTCTGCTCCTGCTCCCCACAGCACAAAAATGCCTTTTTGGGGCAACCCTGGTCAAGAGAATTGTCTTTAGGACAGAGCTTGGATTGTCATTACCTGCAGGGAAAAAAAAAATATCTTTGGTATCGTTGCAAGTTGCTCCTCAAGGCATTTTGGTAGGTGTGGGCAGCAGGAGAGGCCAGATTCGGCATAGGGCAAAGCGCCTTTGGTTCAGTGGGTGCTGGTGGGTGGAGGATAAGGACTGCACTCAGTGCTCAGCTTCTTTGGGATGTCCCAAATCATTGGGTTCTTGTCCCGAGGTGGGAACCAGTCGGGCTCTGTAGATTCCTAGGACTGATGGCTGTGGGTTGGGTCTAAGCTTGGTGACACCTTCGTGTGGTTGGAAGCGAGGTCTGAGCATCCAACACTGAGATGGAGATCCAAACAGCAACAGCTCCCCAGAGGGACGCCAGGAGCACTGTTTGGATGGACAGCCATGAAGAAGACGAAGGCTGCAAGATGCTGCATTGAAGAAGATGCAGGTATAAACCCTGTTATGCTTTTGGGGACCACGTTGGTGGAGCACAATGGAGTTGAGATCTCGTTCCTTGCAGTTGTTTGAGCTTTGGGGCCACATCTGGTGACAGAGGTGAAGGATGGAGAATGAAGAGGAAGAAGAAGAGTCAAGAATCAGCATTTTAAAGTAAAGGCAAGGATGGAGGCAGGTCTTCAAGGCCACCCCAAGGGAAAGCAACTCGGGGCCATCGTACAATCACAGAATGGTTTGGACTGGGGAGAGACCCTTGAAGATCACCAGTCCCACCGGCTGCCATGGGCAGAGATGTCCTTCACCTTCACCATCTGGTCCTTCACCACATGAGGTTGCTCAAAGCCTCGTTGAGCCCAATCTCAAACACTTCCAGCAACGGGACATCAATGGGGGCATCCACAGCTTTGGGCAGCCCTGCTCAGTGTCACCATCCTCAGCGTGACGAGCTTCCATTGCCAACGGTCGCAGCGTGGGGTGGAGGGCGGCGATGGGGCATCGGGGCCATTTCCCTCATCTCAGAGCAAACGAGGAGCCCAGAGCTTTGCAGACTCAGGTGACGGCGGCTGATTGTCTCTGTTTCTCTTCCGCATGAAGACACTTTGACACACAGATGTGAATAAAGCACAAAAAAACCCCCAAACCTGAGAGGTGCGGGGCCTGGCGGGGTTGGTTTGGCATGGGTGGGCACACAGGGGTCCCGTGCCCCAGACACCAGTACCTGGTTTGCTGGGCATGGGGGTCGTGTGCCCCCACAACCCCCTGCAGCCCCTACACCGTCCCCCATGGGGATAAAACAGCGTGCAGAGAAAGGAAAGGGGGGAAAAGAAGCCAACAAACCGACAGAGGGGGGTAAAGGATGGCTCTCCTTTGAGAAAAGGATTGAGAAAAGGAAATCGACGCGGTGATCCATGCAGAAAATTCTTAATCAACCCAGAAGTCATGGACAAAAAAAGCACAGTTTGTCCCCTCCCGCTCCCACCCCACCAACCCTCCCCCAATAATTATTACATTACTTCAAGAAAGAGTATATTTTTTTTTCATGCATAAATAAAATTCTCATCTCTTTTTTTTTTTGTTCTCCTTTTTTTTTTTTTCTTTTTCTCTCCTTTAAATTACATTTGAACACAGAACACGTATAATAAATACTCTCGTACGACATGACTCAGAGAAAAGAAACACATCGGAACTCAAAGGTATCGTCGTCGTTATTCGTTTTTCTTTTTTTTTTTCTTTTCTTTTTTTAAAAGGACTGGTTTAAATATGAAATCTGTAAACTCCGAGGGTCCTTTTTAAACCTTTCTCTCTCTCTTTCTCGCTCTCTTTCTCTCTCATTATTTTTTTTCATCGTGAAACTACCCAGCTTTCGTTTCCTTAACATTCAATATGTCTCCCATCGAACGCGTCAAAGAAATAAGAACATGCCGTCTTCTGCAAAATTATAATTTAACAGTATAAAGCTTCAAGTCACAAATTCCAAAAACTAGCTAAGTCTTTTTTTTTTTTTTTTTTTTTTTTTTTTTTTTTTTAAAATCACATAAACTATACATTAAATATTTTGAGGTATTTCAGAGAACATTGTCAAAGGCTTGTAAGGTCTGTGCTGGGTGGAAAAGAAGGCTTTCTCCTGCATAGGGAACGTCTTTGGTATCAGGAGCCATTGTGGGTGTTGGGGAGGAGGGGGGGTGGGCAGGATCTGGCCAAGGCAATCGTGTGGAGGCGATGGGGACGGGGGGGGCGAGCAGTGGGGTGCTCTGAGCTGCTCTCAGTGGGGCTGCAGAGGGGTCCTGGCGTCCCCACGGCGAAGCTCCCGATTGGGTTTGAGACTTTGGCCAAGTTTGGTCCAACCTAAAGGAGCCGTTTCAGATGGAGCCCGCTGGGGTGGTGCGGCCTGGAAGGCTTCGCCCAAGAAAGAAGGGGAAACCAACGCAAAGAGCCAAGCAGCTGCAATTGGACCCCAGATTTCCCTAAGCTGGAGGAGATTTCTGCAGAAGAGCATCTTCTCCTGAGGGTCCTCCCACCGCCTCTTCCTAAAGCAGAGCCGCTCCTGTCCCACCCTGCAGTGAAAAGCACCTCTGCTGGAACCTGGAAACCTTCCCTGCTGGAGACGCTGAGCTCCGAAAGGTTTGGAGACAGTCAGCAACGAGAAACAACGCGCATCCTCTCTGTGCTACCAAGAAGGGAAACAGGAGCTCCAGTCTGGGCTGAACCTCAACGAAACATCCATGGTGGGATCCATTTGTGGTGGAATCCACGTCTCCAAGGTCCCCACCAACCCAAGCCGTTCTACAGTCGGGTTCTGCACGGTTCAGAGCAGAGCTGCCCACAGGACAAACGGGGACACTGGGGGACACCGGGGACATCTGAAGGGGAAACCACAGCAAGAGGGAAGGGCGATGCTTTCTCTTCCAACAGGACAAAGGTTTGGCTTTCTGTTTCCTCCACCCCAACACCCAAAGGCTACAAGAGTTGCCAGAATCCGTTCGGAGAGCTGAGGTAACAGTGAATCTTCGGGACAAAACAAAGCAAAACGAAAAAAAAAAAAAGAAGAAGAAGAAGAAAAAAAGCAAAAGAAAAAAAGCGGAGGAGCAAAGAAATGGCCACACACCTTTGGTACAAGAAAAAGGCACTCATCGACCACGCCGCCATCCCGGGGATGCTCGCTCGCCTTCTCTCGCTCTCGGGGGGACTCAAAGGGCGCAGGGAAAGCGGCGCTGCCAGCACAGACCAGACAAGGCAACAAAATCTTTGGTATCAGACGTGATTTTCAAA